GAATGCTGGCCACTTCACAGAGTTGCCGTGAAGATGAGGTCATTCAAGCCGAGAGTACCTGCCACACAGTAGGTGCACACTCAATGTGTGTTCCTAGAGTAAATATGTATAACACATAGCAGGTTGCAAACATCTTAATTCCCCGACAACGTTTTGTCACAGTCCCGGCTCACAGTCTAGCAATGGAAGGTATTACTGACTTTCAGGGGGTGCTGAGCTCTATATGCCAAAGCTGCCCAGGCGGGAGAGGAAGCAGATCGAAGAGCTGTCATCCTGTAGCTAACAAGAGTAAGAGCGTTTTTCTTCGAATGTCTATGAAGGGGCTCACACAATCCCACTACCCACTGCCTTGGTCCCATTTTCAAAGTGTGGTCTGTGAGTCGCATTCATCAAACTCACATAAAATACAGACCAGTATCCAGGCTTACAGAATCAATCTCTGGAAGGAGGGTCTGGGAATACATATTTGGAACAAACTCATATTCACAAAGTTTGGGAGAGTCTGGGGGCTGTTGTGCCTGCTGTTCCTTCATCCTGGGCCACCCTTGCTCAGATAGACGAAGGGCTGACTCCACTCAGGTCTGTGTTTAAATGTCTGCTCCTCAGAGAGGTCCTTCCTGACACCCACCCCCCCACCCCGCCGCAATCCAATACAGTAGCCCCTGTTGCTTTCTATCCCTCACTGTGCTTTGTTTGTCATCATAGTGTGCATGACCTGAGGCTCTATTACACTTAGGTTGGTACGTTTATTACCTGGCTCTCCCACTAAACGTAAGCTTCAGGAGCATGGCTACTAAACTGTTGCATCTTTAGTGCCTAGAACAGCACCTGAGATATAGCGGATATTAGGTAATTACTTGTTAAATGAATGATTGCTCTGTGCCCTTAAAGACAGCAGAGAGTGGTGCTGTTTGTCAACTATTTCCAGCTCTTTCCCCATTCTGAGCACATGGAAAGAATGCACTTCCTGCTCCCCTTGTGGAGGGTGGGCTATAGAACTAGTTCTGGCCAATGAGTTGCGAGCAAAAGTGACTGGAGCTTTTCTATGCCGGTTGGTGTAGGAGCCTCTGGGCTCTCTCGGTTTCCCTCTGGCTTGGTGATGGGCAACATTCAACGTGGTAGCTGCTCGGTCAGCCTGGGTCCCTGCGTGATTCTGATGAACAGAATCTCCCTACCAACAGGCAAAGGACATGTAACGTGAGTGAGAAAGAAGTCTCTGGTTTACAGGCACTGGGACTTGAGGGTTGTTTATTACTGCAGCGTAACCTAACCTGTCCTGACAGGTCCATTGATCCCACACAGATAGTTGTACTGTCAGAATCACTGGGAGGTCCCTAAATTCTTTGGGGATTTCAAGCAATGTCAAGTGCCTCAAAGCCAAACAAACCCAGAAACTTCCCCTTCAGAAAGTCAGGCCACATTCTGTCCTCCCCTTTTCCTTCCTACTGGGAAGCTCCCTGGGGGTGAAGGGATAGCCTTGAAACAACTCACCCGATGAGGGACCCGACAGCCTCTGGGACCACCTCTGAAGTGACCTCACACACTGACCACACACTCAAACTCACTGTCACCATCCTTCCCTTTGGTCAAAAATAAAAACAGCACACCCACTCTTCTGGGAGTGAGTCACAAACAGAAAAAAATCAATGGTTCTGAGCCAAGAGGATCTGCTAACAAGGGGAAAAAACTCCCAGTGGAGGTAACTTAGCAGACGCTGTGGTCTCACCCCCGTGGCCTGCACGGCCAAAGACCAATCCAGACAACTTTGAAGTTCAGCCATCAGACATTACCCCAGGTCCTAACCCTACAGTGAGACTGGAGTTTATTTAGTTCTTCTTCCCTGATGGAGGAGGATGGGTTGCGTGCGTGTGTGCGTGTGCGTGTGTGTGCGTGTGTGTGCGTGTGTGTGTGCGTGCGTGTGCGTGTGTGTGTCGTGGAAGAGGATGCTCTTCTGGGGAAGAAGGAGGCTGGGCTGGGAAAGATGACATCAGAAGAGGCAAGTTCCAAGCAGAGAGCCTCCTGCTGGGGTTCAGAAAAGGCAGCTGCCTCTCCTACCTCAGTTGCTTGGCTCAGGGAGATGAACCTTAAGATAAACTTGATAAACTTTTTGGATCGGTTACCTGGAGTTATGTTATCTCCATTCCCATCCCAGAAGCCAAATGTAGGGCTCTGGCCCTGCTCTATCTCCTCCCCTCTGCAGTGCTGACAGCAGCTCGTATTACTCCTCCAAATCAGGGCTGGAGCAGGAAAACAAAACCAGAGCATTTTTCTGTACAGCTCAGGCAACTGGGAAAAGGGGTTTATGCCTGATTATTCCAGATGGTCCTCAGTTTCTCAGGGCCAGAGGAGACACTCATCCCATGAGCCTCCCTCTCCTGGGAGTCTGGGCTGGGCTGCCCAAACTCATGCTTGGGGGAGGGGGATGCAGGACAGAGATGGCGATTGTCGGCAATTTCACAAATGGCATTTCAAAACTGGCCTTCCAGTGATGCACCCTTTGCCAGGTCCCTTCTTCTTGCCACACCAAGCTGTCACCAGAGCACAAGCTTGGTCCACACCTTGGACCTCACCCAGCCCACTGCTCTCCCAAAGTTGGAGGGAGTGATCTCCGAACAAGTCTCAAGCCTGTGAAGATGGACGGATAACAGAGGGTGGATACAAGCAAATATTTATATGCAATACAGGTTTCTGCAACAAAAGTGCTCGCAGAAGGAGTGGGAGAGATGGGAAAAAGAGACCACAAAGGCAAACTGTGCTTTCCTCTTTCAACGTTCAGCAGAAAGCATTGTAGAATGACACCTCATTGGGTTTTTTCTCGGTTGTGTCCCACTGAACTTCAGCTGCTCTGCGGAGCAAAGAGCAGAGAAGCCCATCCTCTTATCACCAAATCTAAAGTAGTGGGGTCCTTGGACCAGCAGCATCAACACTGCCTGGGAACTTGTTAAAAATGGAAAATCTCAAACTATTATATAGAGAATGGGTAAACAACAAGGTCCCATTGTATAGCACAGGGAACTATACTCAACATCTTGTAATAAACCATAATGGAAAAGAAAAAAATGCAAAATCTCAAACCTCAGCTCCAGACAAACTGACTCAGAAACTCAGGGGGTGGAGCCCAGTAATCTGTGATTTAACAAGCCCTCCAGGTAATTGTGATGCATGGCAGCTTTCGAAAACCACTGACTTAGAGAAAGCAAGGGAGACAGGGGAGAGAAGTGAAGGGAGAGAGCAGAGGGCGTGGCTCTGGCTCACACTCCCCCATCTCAACTCCTCCTGCTTCTTAGCACTGTGCTATTGGCTCCTGGGGGTCATTCTTCTCAAGTACCCAGAAGCCACCTCATGAGGTGAGAAGCTCCAGCCTCTGGTGAGACCCAGGGGACCAGAGGATTCCATGATTGTCACCACCATGAGGGAGAAGCCATGGGCCAAAGCAAGCTTGGAAGTCCCTGACCACTGGACTCTTGAAATTTTAGGAATTACCTAAAAATTACCTCCAAGGGGAAATCGAAAAGCAAAAGTGAAGATTCCCCTAGGAGACACTAGGGGGAGACCCATCTCTGGCCTGGGAAGAGGAGGGAGCAACTCAGGTCTAGAATTTAGGCTGCGTATTTCCAAAGTGGATTTGCTGGTGACTTCTTGCTAAATCAACCAAACTGAACCCCAAGTTTTGAGAGGACAATCAGTGATCACTGAGTCAGAGTGGTGGAACCGGAGAGGATGGGAAAAGCATCTACCTGTCTCCGCATTCCCAGACCAATTTACAGCTAAGGAAACTAGAAGCTAGAGCGGGTCCAGGGTCATACAGCGGGTCTGCGACCGGACACACAGGTTCAAAGATCCAGCAGTCCCGTTTCCCCATCTATGAGAGATGGTCAGGATGGGTTACGCAATGCGTGGGACCCAGTGCTAAAAGAAAATGCTGGCCTTTTGTTCAAAAATTATTCAGGCTTTCAAGGCGGTTAACAGCAGAGCATTAAACTCAAGCGGAGGGGGGAGGTTATGAAGCTTCCATATCCAGGTAACCCTGGATCTGGAACTGATAGATGGGGATCGCTCTTTGGGCCCCACAGGTGAGCTGTCCATACCGGATACAAAATAGTGCTTTTGCGGTCGGGGGTGGTGATGGTGGATGTATTTCCACAGTAATGACTAGAACGGCTACGGGGAGAGGCGGGTTTGACTTAGGAAGAAAAGCTCTCCCAAGCCCGGCGCGCTGAAGCGTTCTCACAATCTAGGACCCAGGACCACTATAACTCCAGTCTTCCGGGAAAGGACTATCCTACCCGACAGGGCTGCTGAGAGAGGGGAAATCCAACCAGAGTGAAAGTGGCGCGGGGACAGCCTTGCGCGTCGCGGAGGCGGCTTCTCGCCATCAGCGTGGCAAGCGTTCCCCGCCGCGCGTCCCTCCGCGCCAACGGGACTCTGAGCTGCTGCGGGCCCGCAAGCCGGAGCCGGGCATCCCCTACCCAAACCTGGCTCTGCGCGCAAGGGGACGGTGAACGGCGGAGAGGGGAAGAGCAGGGGAACAAATCCCTCCGGTCGGCGTGAAAACCGGGAGGGTGGCGGGCGGACACTGAGCCGGTGGAAATCTTTCTAGACCCCATCCTCAGCTAGCTCCTAAAGCCTTCCCTTCGGCCCGCTCCCTCCCCTGGGCGTGTTGGGGTGCGGGTTGCGGGGGATCTGGTGTTGGGGGAAATGATGAGAGACGGAAGGAGGCAGGGCTGAAGGCAGGCGACCCCCAACAGAATGCCTCTGTTGAGTTGTCCTGTATAGAGCCTTTCCCATACGCAATCCTTCAGCTGCCCCAGCTTCCTGAAGACGCCCCTAAATCCACACTCGCTCAGGCGCCCCCCGCCGCCACCCCGGCCACTTGGTCGGGTCGGTTGTTCCTTCGGGTCTTCCTTCCTGCCTCTCCGAATTCTCCCCGCCCCCGCCCCGCCCCGCCCCGCCCTGCAGGCTGCGGTCCCTTTAAAGGCGCGCTGGTCTGGGGCCTCCCTTCTCTCGAGGCGGACTCGGGAGCAGCGCCGACGCCGAGAGCTGCCGGCGCAGCCGCCGCTAGCCCGGCATGGCCATGGCGTCCCCGGCCATCGGGCAGCGCCCGTACCGGCTACTCTTGGACCCAGAACCGCCGCGCTATCTACAGAGCCTGAGCGGCCCCAAGCCGCCGCCGCCGCCGCCGCCCCCGGGCCGGTCCTCGCGCCGCTGCGCCCCCGCGCCCCTCTCCACTGCGCCCGGGGCGCACGAGGGACGCGGTGCCAGATGGGCTGCCCGGGGGGACTTGGAGCCACAGCCTCGGGCTTCCCGACCCGCTCGCCCGCTCCGGCCTGGTCTGCAGCAGAGACTGCGGCGGCGGCCTGGAGCGCCCCGGCCCCGAGACGTGAGGAGCATCTTCGAGCAGCCGCAGGATCCCCGCGTCCCGGCGGAGCGAGGCGAGGGGCACTGCTTCGCCGAACTGGAGCTGCGGAGTGGCTGGGGCTGGTGTGACCTGTGCGGACGAGAGGTGCTGCGTCAGGCGCTGCGCTGCGCTAGTGAGTGTGAGGGCAGGGTAGGGAGGGGCGCAGGGGAAGACCGCAGTCCATGGGCGAGCAACTGCGAGGGGACTGAGGCAGGCAGACAGGGGGCACTGCCCTCTCTGGCTCCAGGGGACACCCCGACTTTAACTGAGGTAGGTAAGTCTTGGAGACGCTCTGCGCCTTAGTCCCCTGCCCGGTATCCTCTAGTGACTGCCTACTGCGCAGGTATGCTTATGAGGTCTTTAACAAATACCTCTTCCCCTGACAGGTGCACGCCTCGCTCCTCCCCAGACACATACGTACACACACACAGACACACACACGTAGGTTGGGGTCGATACCTGAAGCTACAAGGTCATTGCCTAGTCTCCCGTGCACCTTCTTGCTTTTGTTGTAAGTTCTTGTGAGTGGGTTGTAAGGCTGGTATTGAGGTGACCATTTGCCCCGTGCTTATTAGGGTAGTGGCAGAATGACTTGTGTGTCTGCCTATGGTACAGGCCCATGGTACACGCCTGCCTGTGGTACACCCCTCCTCCAGGGCGACCTGTTGGGTTAGGGAGATCTGGTTAGGCTTTGGATGGAAACAGGCTATGAGGCTGAAAGAGCCTGAGGTGACCCTGGATCTGTGCCCTCTCCTGCCTTCCACCTCTAGCCCCTCAGACCTTTGGACTCTGCTCTGATGTTTGGCTGTGCCCTGCCTCCTCCTCCTAGGTCACTGCTGGAAAATGACCCAACTACCTGCCCTGTCCCTTCCTCCCCAGAGTTCTCAGGTCCCTCCAGCCTCCTCCTGAGCCATACTCTTCTCAAAGCCTGACTAAAACACTGGGCATCCAGTGTATAGATTTTCTGAGCAAATTTGCAGTATTCTTGAGGGTTTATTATTTTTCTCTTCCGACAGTTAGGTGTGTGTATTTCTTTAAGAGATGTCCTCTTCCTACCCCCCCCACCCCACCCCACATTTGCTGTTACCATGTTTGGCAGAGGATATCCATACCCGTGTGTTTATACAGATAGTTTAAGTATCTGAAGCACAAAGCACAGACAATGGCACAACCTCTAGAAAGCATCCCTGGAAATGGCTTGTGGCTTGCATCTTTCAGCAAAGCCTCTTCCCGCATGACAGCAGCCCCACAGCTTCCACCCAGCTCCAGCATTGTACAGCAGCAACTACATCCGCATCAGGAAAACCCGACCTTGCCTCTCTCTGTGGCCAAGGCTGTGCAGTGTGCCTCCCACTGCAGCTGGCTTCAGGGAAGGAGAGCTCAGACTCTAAGCCAGGGTCAAGTGGAAGAGGACGATGGGAGGGGAAAGTGGTTGCTGCTCCCTCCACCACCAGAACTCAGTTCAGGTGCTAATTAAAAAGGAAAGGGCAAAAGATATAGAGGTGTGTGACGTGGGTGGAAGGGCTGCTGTCACTTGGCAAATGTCCCTGACCTTCAGTAGAATCAAATGCAACTTTCCCACAGATGTGTTGGCAGCTTTTGCCCTCTCAGGGGTCCTGGGGTGCTTTACTGCATCCACCAACCCTGTCAACACAGGGAGGGGCAGTATCCTCGTTGTAATGGGTTTTAATGTGCCAGAATCCTGGGAGAGCCGCTTCATTGGAATTCTAGTTTGTATGAAGACATTGGGGGAACTCCCTGGCTGTCCAGTGGTCAGGACTCCGAGCTTCCACTGCAGGGGGAACGGGTTCGATTCCTGGTTGGGGAACTAAGATCCCGCATGACGGGCCACGAGAGGAAAAAAAAAAAAAACTTTACAAGCAAGAGCGAAAAAGATATTGGGGGACTATTTGGCCTATAGTTTTATGATTTGGGGGGTGGTGTTGATAATGGTGTCCATGTGTGTATTTGTATGTGAACATGCCTGATTCTCCATAATTAAATGAATTTATGCCCACTTCACATTAGATAGTTTCTGGTGGCAGGAAGCACCAGGTGCACGGGCATGTCCTCTGACTTTGTGTGTGACTTGGTGGTCCCCGGCCAGGTGGGTTAATACCAACCAGGGATGTCTGAACACCAGAGAGGGAGCAGAGTTGGAATCAAGGGGCTATAGAGAGGAACCTCTGTTTGTTGTTATTAATATTTAACTGTGGACCTGTGGCTGGATGGGAACAGTTGAGAAATGTTCTGATGGCTGGCAGGTAGAGACACAGCCCGCCAAACTCACCAATCATCTTTCTTTCAGTTGAAGTTCTAATTCCATGGTGGGGTTGGTTTGTTTCATCTTTGTTTCAAAAAGCAAGGGTCAAAACTATGACTTTTTTTTTTGCGGTACGCGGGCCTCTCACTGTTGTGGCCTCTTCCATTGCGGAGCACAGGCTCCGGACGCGCAGGCTCAGCGGCCATGGCTCACGGGCCCAGCCGCTCCGCGGCATGTGGGGTCCTCCCGGACCGGGGCACGAACCCGCGTCCCCTCCATCGGCAGGCGGACTCTCAACCACCGCACCACCAGGGAAGCCCAAAACCATGACTTTTGAAAGGCAATACTCTGCAGTGCCTAAGCGAACGGCCTGGAACCAGAGACCTAGGTTTGAATCCTGACTCTGCCTCTTGGTCTCTGTGTGACCCTGGGCACCTCTGTGTTCTGCTTCCTTGTTTTAAAAAATGGGGATGATTGGGAATTCCCTGATGGGCCAGTGGTTAGGACTCTGTGCTTCCACTGCAGGGGAAACGGGTTCGATCCCTGTTTGGGGAACTAAGATCCCACAAGCCTAGCCTCGCTCCCCCCGCCCACAAAAAAAATAATAATGGGGATGATAACATTACCTTCACGATCATGTTAATGTGAGAATTAAATGAATTAATGTAGGGAAAGGGCTTAGAACAGTGCCTGGCAGAAGGCAATAGAAATGTTTAATGCAATATGAGTGTTATTATCCCCTCTCATCAAGCAGCTGTAACAATTTGGGCTCCTGACACTTCTTAGGTCCACCTTTCTAAGCAGTGAGTACAGTTTTCCACCTCTGCTTGGTTGCTGAGCTGAGTGGGAAAGCCTTGAGCATCCCAGGCAGTGTGGACACTAATCGTCCCCTAGCAATGCCACTCCTGCCTGCTGAGGCTGACAAGCATCCTCACAGGGTGCCCATGGCTTAGAGGTCACGAAGATCCAGGCGCCTTGTCTTTGTACCACTTGCCCCCAGCACAGCACAGTCTCAGTAAGTAGTGGTTGATGAGGGTGGTTGCCTGTTTTTACCATTAAATCTCCCTGCTCTTGGAAACAAGCAGAAAAGCAATGGGTATATACATGACATCTGTCTGAGCAGGAGGCTGACACTGGGTGGGAGCCGTGTTGGCAAAATGGGCTTTTAATAAGGGAAGCTTTTAGAAAACTGTCTTCCCACTGTCTGCCTGCCTTTTTAGTGAAAATCCCTCTAACTTAAGCTTACCCCTACTTCAAGGTCTGTAACTGAGCTCTGGTTAATGCTGGATTTGCCAACAGGAAAAGTTCAAAGTTAATATTCATTTCCAGAATTAAAGAAGTCATGTTTGTTAGATAGAGAAGGAAATCCATTGGGGATTGGGAGGGGGAGAGAGAGGTAGATTGTATGAATTCGTGTGTGTGTGTGTGTGTGTGTGTGTGTGTCTTGGGGTGGGGGCCGTTGCAGCAGTGAGAGCCCATTTCCAGCCTTCCAGGAGGGATGGTCAATAGCAAACAACCCTTAAAACTCTCACAGGCTGCCCTTTGGATTTGTTCTCAGGGAATGTCCCTTACAGGTTGTGGACCCTTTCTTCTGTAAAAGGCACATGGAGTTGACCTTTTACGTTTCATCACATTTTGGTGGGTATGTTAGCCATCCTGGATCAAGGAATGGTCTGGAAAATGGGGAAAGCTAAGTCCAACTCAACATACAGGGAGGGATGCTTAGACATGCCTTGCACGTTGCTAGTGGAGCCGGTCCTCTTTCGAGAGGGTGCCATTCAGAGCTGTGAAGTGTTACGTGATTGGGATTATAGGGTGGAAGGGGGACCCTGGGGCTCATCATCCTGACCTTCCCCTCCTGTGATAAACTTGAATTATGGTGTGAGTATGAGGTGTTTGCCATGGAGCCTGCAGGGATGAGGACAGTGGCCTTCTTGGTGAGCGAGGCTGGTATCTCACAGAGCCCCTTGTCCAGACGTTCTAGCTCTGTCTCGTCGCTGCATCAATGGTTGAGCTTAACCCACCTCTCTGCACAGACTGGACCCACTCATGTGACAGCCACAGGCTCCTACAAACCCCACCCCACCCCCCGCCGTCATGGGTTCTTTGTAGGAGAGGTTATGGGGACATGGACGTTGAGTGTCCCTGTGGCAGACACAGGAACGTTGGGCACTTGGAAAGTGTTTTATTTGTCCAAGAAACTAGGTAGCACTGAAGTGTATGACTTGAAGTATTTTCATTAATTCAGGACCATGTTTGGCTTTGGAGGTTAGGAAAATTAAGCCCTGAAATGGTTATTTTTTTCTTGTTAGAGATAGTGGAATCCCCAGTCCCTCCCCTGCCCCTGGCTCTGATTGGGGTTTTCTTCTTGGGGAACGTCCTAGTGGAGTGGGTTGCGGGGGGACAAGGGAGGACAGAGAAAGGACCTGGAAGGCTTTGGCAGAGGCCATTTGAGCTCCCCAAGCTGTTATTCTGTTTCCTCTCCTCCCTGCTTCCTGTATTTTCAAAAGATGAAAGTGAAAGGATTAAATGTGGGTTTAATTTTTTTCCCCCTATTCATCAGAGCATGAAATTTTCTGATTATTCAGAAAATTACTTATTCGAGTAAGAGGGGCTCGAATCCCAGGTACAGTCAAAAATGATTAATGCCACTTGTCTCCCCGCCTAATTAGACTTGGTAATGAATGTGTGTGTTCTCCTGCTGATCCTGCAGAGTCATTAGGTGGAAGTAAATTGACATGTCCCCCCAGCACTGCAGGTTTGATCCCGTACCCTCTCTCTTTTCCCTAAGTTTACCAGTGAATTCAGCCGGTGCCAAGTCTGGCAGGTAGGCCCTGAGTGACAGGGAAAAGAGAGCCCCCAGCCCAGCC